TGTCATGTGCTCACCTCATGGACAACATATTAAGACTATTTTAGACTTTTTATTGGAAAACTTATCAAACGAAGAACCTTATTTATTACACCATCAATCAAAAACTTAACCCTAAACCTAAACCTCTTTCATATCCATTAAATGAAGTAAATCTGCAAGTTCTTTGATCTAGTGTAAAAAATAAATTACATAAATGTAAGCTCTTTGGTTGATGGATAGAAAGAATGAAGTCTTTCGTTTGATAGGTTTTGAACAAACAATCTAAAATATTCCTAATTTGTTTGCCTATGTGGTGAATGTATGAGACATTTCGTTTAAAAATTTAACGGGTGCTAATAAAAGGGTTTAATTGCTAAAATTTGAGAGTTTAGGGACTTAATTGACACGAAATTTAGTTTAAGAGTTTAATTGATACGAAGGTCTAATGACCATTTATTTAGTTTACCCTTCTTCTTTTTTTTCAACAATCAATGTTTTTATATGTATCTCGACTAATTTTTTTTCTAAATTCGGTTAATATAAGATCATCACGTCAGGATTAGAGTATTCATGTCCTGATCTTAAGAAATTGTAAAAATTCGAATTCAAGATACTTGAGATTATAAGTCATTTTTGGTACCAATTGAACTTCTGATTGAGGGTAGACAATTTATTGAGATGACAAATATGGTCATCTTTATTAAAATAAGGATATATTCTTCATTGAAATTGGGCTGAATTGACATAAACACCCTGGTTAACCACTCAAGTGATGGCCATATGAATGGTTGGTTCCATTTATCATTTGGACCGGAGAGGACCACAAGGGCCAAACTGGAATGGAAATAAGAAAGTGGAGGTGTAATTCTAGAGGCAAAATCATATTGCTTCATAAATATTGGGGCATAAAATATCTATACTCATTTGTTTGGGGGGTGGGGGTGAAACTGGCAATGCACTCGAATTTATACTCTTTTTTTTTTTTTTTCTTTTTCTTTTTCTTTTTTGCTGATACTCTTTTTTTTTCCTTTTCAAAGGGCCGCGTCAAATGGGATTTGGTAACAGTCTATATATGTTGGAATTAATTATAATCATGTGGAAAGTTTTTATGATTAATAAATCTAGAGGCGGTGTTAAACAACCAATATATATGTAAGATTAACACGTTGAATATCGGATTTTGTTTTAGTCTAATTGAAATTTAATTTGAAATTTTTTGTTATGTATTAGTGTTTACTAGAATTTTTCTCGTTGATTCTCTTTTTTATTTTATTTTTTTTATGGTCTTGAGGAATTTGCTTGACAATGAATTGTTCTTTTATTTTTTTTGCCAAAATAAAAAAAGGTGAGGGAGCGATCAGTAGGTATTAATCCTTAGGCGTGATCATGAGAGTCTTTTGCACTCTGAAATGCGCAATTTGAGTCATAGTTATTAAATCAAAAAAGATAATCCGTCACCACAAAATTATAAAAATCAACCAACAAACTATATTATTTCCATAAATCAAATTTTACTTGATAATCTCGTAGGAGTCATCTATGACTTTAAACTGTACGACTTACTATTAAACCACCGCCTCGAGGGAAGCTTTATGAACTGTTCGAAAACATAAATAGCACAGAAAATGTATACATTGGTAGGGATGCCTCTGTTTGGGAAGTTGGATATATTTATGCTATAGTGCCCAAGGAACTTCTGACATTGACTGGTTTTTTTTCGTAGGCCGGAATAACTCTTGGTGAGCTGCGATATGTGGCGGACCTCTACGACTTCCACTCAATGGCCACCTTGTTCCTTGTCGGAGTTGTTACAGTCACCCCAACTTTGATGAACAGCAAGAGCAGATCATAGAATTTCATTAGCTCAAACATGTTGGGTTTTTCCAATCAACCATTTGGGTATTATTCGATTGTACAAGATTTGCTCAAATGGTGTTCGATAAAATAGGTTAGAAACTTAACAATCTCAATTCCATTTCAAACTCAAGTTATTCAAACACAGAAAATTTCTCGTGTTAAATAAAATTTGTTTCAAAATATCTTGAAATTTAGAAAAGGACAACGAAATTTCAGTATCTTTATTATCATCACTATAACTATGGTTATTACAGTGATTACATAACTGTCTAATTACGTAAAATTTTGATAGTGATAATGAGTAATGACAATACAAATTCACGTTATTATCTAATTCTATTAATTTTGAACAGTAACAATAGATAGTGATAGTAATAATTTAATATCATTGCAACTATCACTATCATGTGAAATTGTTACTGTTACGGTTACGGTTACTGTTATCGACCCAAAAAATTTGTAACTGTGTAGCGACCTTCAAAAATTCTTAAATTAATCGTTTTAAAATTTAGTTATTCATATTTAACGTAAATGTAAATAGACATAGGGATGAGCACCAACCCTATCTCCCATTCTGTGTCAGTTTCACATCATCAGCACGTGGTGGCGGGACCATGAATGATTATGATTTGCTGAAAACATTTAGATGGGTCCCACAAATGTGTGGTGGTGATGGCCTCAATGTGTCATTTCCACATCATCAGCACGTGGTGGTGGGACCATGTATTATTATGATTTGCGGAAAACATTTAGATGGGTCCCACAACGTGTGGTGGTGATTGCCTCAATGATTTTCCAAAATCTTATTGTTGGTCCTAATTATGGACTAGGGTTAACCGTGCTTTCAACCAATTAATTTAAAAAAGTGATAAATGAAAATATCTTGGAATAATGACATAATCAAATATATGCTTTAGGGTAAGTAGACTTTAAATATAATAGATAAAAATAATGTGATATATTTACATCTTTTATATTCAATTTGATACTTAAAAATTTATTAAACATAAAAAAAGTTTATTTGAAAAAAATTAATAAGATAACATTTATACATTAAGGATTAATAATATAATTTATTTGATACAAATAAAAGCAATATTCTATAATTTTTAATTTTTTTATAAATTCTATATTTTACTCATTTTTTACTATATATTCTATAATTTTTGAACCAAACGAGACTTCAACAAATCATACTAAAGAATCAATTTTAGTTTGCTAATTTTAAGAGATTTGGTATGAACCTTTTGTTTTTGTTTTTTCGTTCTAGTACCCAACTTGTTTGATCCAATAAATTTTATTTTTCATAAATCATTACAGTGCGCCCAACTAATTTAAAAACATATATAATTAAAAAAAATTATTTTTTTCAGGGTGGCCTCAACCCCTCCTCCCTCCGCCATTGCTAGAGAAAGAGAGTGAAGAGTGAGAATAGGAAGGTAAAATTCAATATAAATAGTACTAAGAGAGATGTTGATGGCCGTTGAATGAGTTTATTTGAGACCTTCGGATGGATTTGTTGAACCCGCCCTGTTTTATATTATAGAATTCATAAAATATAATAGAATTGACTTTAAAAAAATATTAATTTATATATATGTAATCAAAATCGAATATTAATTTATATACATATAATCAAAATCGAGTCAAATTTAATACAAACTAAAAATTTAATTTATCAAAAAATATATCGCCAAAATATTTTCTATCAAAAAAAAATCTACAAATATTATTTATAAAATATATATTTTTAATTAGTACAAGTTATTACAAAATTATTAATTTCTAAGAATATATTAACGTTGTGTTTTCTTAAGAAATAAAAAAAAATTGTCTTAAACTTTTGATTCAAGACATGTGTAAGGCATGTTAGTTTGAGATAGTTAATTAAATAAATAAAATTAAAATTAATTATATTCAATATAAATGTGTTAAGCAGCACCCTTATTTTTTTTTAATCTGTTAAATTGATGAATTTTTTTTGATCAAAATATTGTTATTGTCTCTTATACAAATTTAAAATATTACACTACACAGTTGATATCAATAGCGATAAATCTTGTAATTCAAGTCAACCGTAATTTTTGACTAGTTGGGAAGGAAAATATTAAAGAAAAAATGTTAATTTCTTGACCGTTGAATGAATAAATTTGAGACCGTAAGATGTATTCCAAGATCAGCCGTAATCGTTGATTGGTTGTGAGGGAAAATATTAAGGAAAAAAAATGGTAATTTCTTGACCGTTGGATGAATGAATTTGAGATCGTAGGATGAACTTGTAGAAGCCGCTCTATTTTTTATTTTAGATACAGATTTTGACGCAAATAAAAACAATATTCTATAATTTTTTTTTAATTACAAATTCCATATTTTTTTAAACCAAATGAGGCTTCAACAAATCATACCAATACTCTAAATAATCAATTTTAGCTTGCTAATTTTAAGAGATTGATATGAACTTTTTGTTTTTGTTTTTTTTTCTAGTACCCAACTTGTCTGACCTAATTAATTTTGTTTTTCATAAATCATTGTAGTGGGCCCAATTAATCCAAAAAAATATATAAAACTAATATAACTAAAAAAATATATATATTTTTTCAGGGTAGCCCTAGACTCTTCCTCCTCTGCCACTGTTAGAGAGAGAAAGTAAAGAGTGAGAAGAGGAAGGTAAAATTCAATATGAATGATTTTGAGAGAGACCTAAAAGTAGGTGTCAGGTGCCAATCATAGGCACTTGAGTGCCCGGGAATAGCCATTGGTGCTCGGCTTGTGTCAGGTACCTATCATCCTTGTAGTAAATGAATGAAGATCTTGGGGGAGAATATTCAGATCTTCTTGGGTAAAGGTGTCAGACATTGAATGTTCAGATGAAACTTAAAGTCTTTGTACTCATTGCTAATTCAGGTATCAATACTCCTCAGAAAAATGAACAAAGGTACGCAATATTGAACCAAAATACTTGATACATTGAGTTTGAGTCATCGATCTTATACTGACTTAAGCTTCGAAGAAGACAAGACAGGTGTTCACCTGACCCCCTTTTTCTGACCCTGTGACTATTGCAAATTTACTAGGCTGAAGATTGTTATCTCAAACTATTAAAGAAAATCTCCCGTGCAAAGGGTAGGAATGAGAAGGAGATTGATCTGATGGTGGGAATGAATATGACGGGTTTGCCGTAGAATCCATGGAAAGGTGTTGTAAGTGATCGTGGCTATGGCACAGATTGAGAAGAAGATAATGAAGAAGGCGAAGAGGAGAGGACAAATCAGGGTTTCAGGGAGGAGATGGTGAAGGGTGAAGGTGGAAAGGCAAAAGAATTGGTAGTTAACATCGTTGTTTTGGGAGAAGGTGAACTGAAGGATGCTATAGATGATGCGAGAGGAAGCGAAGGACAAGAGAAAGAGGAGAAAGAGAGCTCAGAAGTGGGGAGAGTGGGCATTGGTTGTGCGTTTTGTTTCGGAGAGTACTCCGTTGAGGTTTGGGGTTTGTGAAAAGGTCGACATGGTAGAAGGAGAGGGAGAGGGAGAGAGAGAGAGAAACATATGGAGATTGATACTTCTTCAGACGTGTTAGTGGCGGTAAGCAAATTTTACTTTTTTTTTTTTTTTGTTTTTGTTTTTGAGTAAATTACACAAATAACCCTTAAACTACAACTTTTATGTTAATTAACTCCTTCAACTAATTTTCGTGTCAATTATGGTCCTAAAATCTAAAATTTTAACAATTAAATCCCTAAACTAATTTTTGTGTCAATTAAATCATTAAATTCTAAAATTTTCTCAATTAAGCCTTTATGTAAGCATCCATTAGGTTTTTGGATGGAATGTCTCACATTCTCACCACGTGAACAATAGATTAGGCATATTTGAGACTATTCTTTTAAAACCTATTAGATGAAGAACCCCCATTTCTTACACCCATCAACCGAAACCCTAACCCTAAAGAATGGGGTTCTTCATCTGATAGATTTTCAAACAAAATAGTCTTCTTCAAATAGTTTGTTGATCTGTTTCGTTTGATAGGTATAAAATAAGTTTAGGTTTAATGGGTGTAATGAATAGAATTCTTTGTCTAATACATGTCGAACGAATAGTCTAAAATGCCCCTAATATAGTAAGTAATATATTGTGTTGTCCATGTGGTGGACATATGAGGCATTTCATCCAAAAACCTAACAAATGTTGACAAAATGACTTAATTGTTAAAATTTTAAAAAGTTTAAAGACTCAATTGACATGAAAATTAATTCAAAAACTTAATTGCTAAACTTTTCAAGTTTAGGGATTCAATTGATACGAATAATTGATATAAGAGTCATTTGTACAGTTTACTCTTCTTTTTTTCTATGGTCAAGGTTCTTATAAGCATCTCGAATAATCTTTTTTTAAGTCTAATCAAAGACAAATCATTTATGTTATGATTATGGTATTTATGGTCTGGCCTCAAAAGGAAGTCAATATTCAAACTCATGATATCTGAGTTTATAATTCGTACTTANGTTTAGGTTTAATGGGTGTAATGAATAGAATTCTTTGTCTAATACATGTCGAACGAATAGTCTAAAATGCCCCTAATATAGTAAGTAATATATTGTGTTGTCCATGTGGTGGACATATGAGGCATTTCATCCAAAAACCTAACAAATGTTGACAAAATGACTTAATTGTTAAAATTTTAAAAAGTTTAAAGACTCAATTGACATGAAAATTAATTCAAAAACTTAATTGCTAAACTTTTCAAGTTTAGGGATTCAATTGATACGAATAATTGATATAAGAGTCATTTGTACAGTTTACTCTTCTTTTTTTCTATGGTCAAGGTTCTTATAAGCATCTCGAATAATCTTTTTTTAAGTCTAATCAAAGACAAATCATTTATGTTATGATTATGGTATTTATGGTTTGGCCTCAAAAGGAAGTCAATATTCAAACTCATGATATCTGAGTTTATAATTCGTACTTATTACTATTCGAGCAACTCATTGAGACAAGACCATAAAAGATTTACTGAGATCAGGTTATGGTCATGTTTATTAAGATAATAATATATTCTTCATTGAGATTGAGCTGAATTGACATAAACACCCTGGTTGATCACTCAAGTGAAGAACCATAAAAAAGTGGAGGGTGTAATACGGTCAAAGTGTAATTCTAGTGGCAAAATCGTATTTCTTCATAAATATTGGGGCGTAAAATATCTATACTCATTTGTTTGGGGTTGTCAAGCGTGTGGAAAGTTTTTATGGTCAATAAGTCTAGAGGCCGTGTTAAACAATTAATATATGTGTATGATAGTATTTTAGTTATAACTTGGGAAATCGTGTTTGAAGATACGATATAATAAAAAAAAAATTAAACATTTTATTTGAATACAAAATAATCAAATATTGAACTCGGACACGTACTACACTAAAAGCCTAAACTCGCCTTATATTATGTGTGTTCACGCACTATACATAGTTCTTAAACACGAAAGAATCAAACAATGAATATAAACATGCATTAAACTGAAATCGTTTGGTTATTTTTAATGTCATGAATTTAGTGAAATAAAAAAAAAAAAGTCAAAATAGGGATATTCTTTAAAAAAATTTCAATTTTTCAACAAAGTATCCTCTTAAAATATGATTCACAAATATATTAAACTGTCTACAAGACTTATATATTTCATAATTATAATCAAATCATGTCGTATGCATACTAAAATTCAACTATGTATCAATTACCACAACACAATTCTTCCTACACAAACAATTATATCCATACTTGTAAAAGTGACAGACATAATATAATATTCTTAAAAAAATTAAAATAAACCAATAAAATTTTTCAATCACAAATTAATTAAATAACAAAACAAAATGACATAAACTACTTATAAATCAATCGCTATCTCAATGAATGAACAAAAACCAAGCAAGAGGTATTGAAGCTCAAAATTGTGTGTATTCAAAATTGGGAACATTGATCTACAATCGATTTCGTAACAAATAAATAGGAAATTCTATAATTTTAGTGAAAATGATGTCCTCACTATAAGTTCATCATCACACATGCACATTTTTAGGGGTTTTCATTTTCATAGGTTTTCATTCTCAGGAATTATTTAATCCAAGAAAATTTTCATAAACAACATACTTCATTTAAATCCAACAAAGCAAAAAAAAATAACTCAATGGCTGTGGTTGTGGCTATGGAAAGAGACATTTGAAGATGCAATGAGTTTGAAGTGAAGACGAAGGCATGGATTTGGGGAAGTAATGTCTGTCTCGTCGCTGTCTTCAGCATGGATTTAGGGAAGTGACCTGTTTGACAATGGTAGAGTGGTAAGAGTGTGCGAGAAGTAATAAGTTTTTTTTTTTTTTTTGGGGATGTATGGGGTATAAAATTCAAATATATTCCTGTTTTATTATATATATATATATATATGTTTTAATTTTATTTAAGTTATATAGTATTATTTATATGTATGATTTTATTTTTGGTTTAACGAGTATATGAGTTAATTTATGCGCATCTAGACTAATCTTCTTTCCGGTCTGATCAAAGATAGTAATCCTCAAAAACCTTATCAAAGATATATCATTCGCACTCGGAATAGATATTAATAAAGGATAAATTTCTTATGCCTTGATTTCAAGGGATTGTCAAAATTCAAACAAAAAATATTTGAATTTATAGCTTGCCTCTGTTACCACTAGGTATTTCAAAATTTGACACGACATGACACGATTAACCGACACAAATCGACACGAATTAAGTAGGTTTGGGTAAGATCTTAACGGGTTTTGGTGGTAAACAAGTTGACCTATTAGACAGGTTTAATAACGAGTTGTGTTCGAGTGAGACACGTCTAACCGTTTTATCACACGTTTACTATTTTAAATAAAATTAATAATTACTTAAAAAAATTAGCCAGAAAAAAGTAAACAAATCAATACACAAAAAAAAATAAAAAAGATAAAGTAGTAGTTCAAAGATAAAAGAGGAAAGATGGAAGCAGTTCATGACAAGGATAAACCAACCTTTTTTGTTTTTGTGCCACATCGGCAAATAAGGGGAGATGGATATGACTGAGATGACTGTCTTGCCTGTAAAAGGTAGTGGCCCCTTGCCTTTTTTTAGCCTTCAAATCTGATTTTTATGTGAAATGTGGTTAAAAATTCCTCTTTTTTGAGGTAAATAGAATTGATAGTAAAAAAAATGGTGTATTAAAATTTGTTGATATAAAAGGCATTTTTTTAGTCTTCAAATCTGATTTTTATGTAAAATTTGGTTAGAACTTCCTGTTTTTTGAGGTAAATACAATTGACAGTAAAAAAAGGTAGTGTATTAAAATTTGTTAATATAATTTTTTTTTTAAATTAAACGGGTTAAACGAGTCGTGTCGCGTTACCTGTTTATTAAACAGATTGTATTTGTGTTGAAATTTTTCACCTGTTTGTTAAACTTGTCATGTACAAGTTTACATGTTTTTCACCTGTTACCTGTTTAATCGACACATAACCGTTTAACCTGACATATTTGACACTCCTAATTACCACTTGAGCTACTCCTTGAATTATTACTCATATATGTAAGATTAACACTTGAATATTGGATTTTGTTTTTGTCTAATTCAAATTTAATTTCGAATATGATTTTTTGTTATGTATTGTATTTAAATTAAGACCAATTATATGTATATAAATAAATACACAAATTAGGTAATTATTTCCTCAAATTGAGTTAAAATTCAGATGTATATGTAATTTGTTGAATCTAATCAATTTTTTTTTTTAATGGTTTTGAATTTTATTTTAAAAAAAATCCAATCAAATTTGAATTGGATTCAAATTAGAAATTTTAAATTGAATTCAAATACGAGTGGATGAAATCTAATCCAAATCCAATCGTTGACGAATAAATGTGAGATGAAGTTATATTATAGCCTTATATATAGAGTTGTTTTCACCATTTTTTATTATATATAATAACCCATTAAGGCTACGACACCGCACTACATTCATCTGAGTCATTGCTTTTGAATTAGGTAGTTTACAATCATTTATTAAAAGAAATTACAAAATAATAAACAAGAACAAAAAATATAAAAATTTTACACACAAGATACATTTTTATTAAATTAGAAAGAAAAAAAAAACACTGAAAAATAGTATTTTGACATGGTAAACCTTCACTCCAAAAACTTAAAAGAGTGTATGTATGTATACACATTGACCGAGATTTGTCTTCGGCAATATCATAATTCTAACATAGATAATTTATTTTTGATTGGACAGGTAACCCGGACACGCTGAAAGGTGAACCAGAAAAAAAAAAAAAAAAATACAATTACATATAGAAATTCAACTGCAAAGGAACTGGAGTGACATCGAATAACCTCAAATTCATCAACCTTCGAAATTCTTAAACACCGTGAGCTACTTTGTCATCATCAATGGGCACGCTAGTATACTCTGGTGCAAACTCATCACCACTCTGCAACGCCAATTCACCATGAAAAGCCTTGCAATACATGTACAACACTGTATTTGCTACCAAAATCTGAAGCATGAACAAATTCACCAAAAAAGAGGTAGACAGAATCTTCAAAATGAACAACCAAAGTCCCCAATCACAAAACCCATTGGAAATTACCACCGGCGTCGAATTTGCCCAGCTGAAGAACCCAATAGGGAACCCGTACAATAACAGTATCGACAACCAAAGTCCTTTCATTCCCTTCATCAAATGGGTACTTCGACGCAACGGCTCGATCCCCCATTTTGATTCCACCACCACAATTACACTAGCCAAGGCCCAATTCACTTGTAACCAAATCACGATCAACCCAAGTAAGATCGCGAGAAATATGCAAAGCCCAATGAAATAATTCGAATTATAATCGATTTCGAACCCAAAAAACTGCGACCCTGTGTACAACAAAGCGACAAGAATGCCGAAAATCATACCTATCAGAGCTACAATTATCTGTGAAACTACCATCGTGATCACAAGAGGTGGGACTGAGTAGACGAGTGATTTAATGGCGGATTTGAATTTGACGGGTGTACCGTAGAATCCATGGAAGGCGGTGTAGGTAATTGTGGATGTGGCACAGAGAGAGAGGAGGGTGACGAAGAGGGTGTAGAGCAGATAGAGAATCAGAGTTTCAGTGGGGTTGTGATGGAGGATTTGGGTATTGACGGCATCGTATTGGGAGAGGCTGGATTGAAGAGTGGGGTAGATGAGGGTAGATAAAGAGAGGGGGAAGAGGAAAAGGCCAGAGAGGGCAAAGAAGAGGAGAGAATTGGTACGGCGTATGCGATTTGTTTCGGAGAGGAGTCCGCAGAAGTTTATGGTTTCTGAAGGAGTCGACATATGAGAGAGAGAGAGAGTTGCAGAGACGAGAGAAAGGGAGGAAGACGACTGGAATGTGTGGGATGAGAGGAGGAGAGGGAAATTGATGCCATCTATATAATAAAAGGATAATTACATTCGGACCCTTGACGGATGTAATATTATACATAGACCCGTTGAAGTTTGTACACGTAAAATTAATATATTTTAATAAATTACACTAAGACCTTTTAAAGTTTTTTAAATATATAATAATTAGACTCATCAAGTTTAAAATATTATATTAAAACTAAAAATATTCTAATCAAAGATAAAATATTAAATATTTTAAATTTAAATTCATGTTCTATTGTATTATTTATTAAAATAAAATCAAAAATCAAAAATTATTTTTTTCTTAAAAAATCATAATTAGTATATAATTATACTATCTATTCTAATAAAACTAAAAAATCAAATAAATGGTCTAAGTCATTCATAATAGAATATGAATTTTGGTAAAATTTATGTTCTATTATGTCATTTATTGAAATAAAATAAAAAATAAAAAAATTATTTTTTCTTAAAAAATCATAATTAGTATATAATTATACTATCTTTCAGAATAAAACTAAAAAATTAAACAAGAGATTAAACTATAAAGAAAATAATATATTCTAGCTTTAATTGGAGTAATTTTGTAGTTCTTTTTTTTTTTTCTAGTGTAATTTTGTAGTTCTTAAACGACTAAATTAAATTATAATAGATAATATAATTGTATAATAATTATAATTTTGGGTTAATTGCACTAAAAGTTGTTAAAGTATGAAGTTTGTCTTATTTTAGTCCTCATTGTTTCAATTGTATCATTTTGGTCCCTAAAGTTTTAAATATATTTTTATATGGTCACTCATGCAGACAGTGTCCAGATTGTTAACGATTTTTTATCATAAAATTGTCACATGATACTTAAGTATGGATAAAAAAAAATAAATTAGATAACTCTTGATCAAATTTTTACTCAAATTTTGGTTAAATATCTACATAAATTACATAGTTTTGGTCACGAGTNTTTTTTTTAAAATTAAACGGGTTAAACGAGTCGTGTCGTGTTACCCGTTTATTAAACAAATTGTATTTGTGTTGAAATTTTTCACCCGTTTGTTAAACTTGTCATGTACAGGTTTATATGTTTTTCACCTGTTACCTGTTTAACTGACACATAACCGTTTAACCTGACATATTTAACACTCCTAATTACCACTTGAGCTACTCCTTGAATTATTACTCATATATGTAAGATTAACACTTTGAATATTGGATTTTGTTTCTGTCTAATTCAAATTTAATTTCGAATATGATTTTTTGTTATGTATTGTATTTAAATTAAGACCAATCATATGTATATAAATAAATACACAAATTAGGTAATTATTTCCTGAAATTGAGTTAAAATTCAGATGTATATGTAATTTGTTGAATCTAATCAAATTTTTTTTTTAATGGTTTTGAATTTTATTTAAAAAAAAAATCCAATCAAATTTGAATTGANTCCTATAATTTTTTAAGAAAAAAATTAAATTTTTATTTTAAATTTTATTTCAATAAATATCATAATATAACATGAATTTTAGTTATGTAATTTAAAATATTTAATATTCTATATTTGATTGAAGTATTTCTAGTTTAAGTATAATATTTTAAATTTAATGGGTCTAAGTATTACACTCTTATAAACTTTAGAGAGTCTGAATGTAATTTACTTACGGATATACTAACTGACATTAATGACAAGGTCTAAGTGTTACGTGCGTATAAATGTTAGGGGTCTGTGTGTAATATTTCAAACATCAAGAGATTTGAGTGATTAAATGATAAACTTCATAAGATTTGTGTATAAAATTTCAAACGTAAGGAGATTTGAATGTTTAAGTGACAAACATCAGGGAGGTCCGAAGGTAATTCTCCCCATAATAAAATACCTTGCAACTCCAATTTTTATTCCCTTAAAAATAGAGAAAGGTTATTGAGAATTAATTTACTGACCTAATTTATTATAATCTTTGAATTAATTATAGGCTCCATCAAATATTAAAATTTGATATTAATTCAATGATTCCACTGAAGTTACATTATTATGTTAGTAAATTATGTCAAATTTTTTAGATTCAAATAAAATTACTCTTAAAAATATCAAATCACTCATTTTTATCACATATTCAATTATTTAATTTTTAATTTAACATAATTTTTACTTGAGACATTATATATACACGATAATATATACATGTTGAGAAAATTTTATCGAATTAGAGAAAATTTTATTAATATTTTAAAAAAACATAATAAATAAAAATAAATTTTAAATGATATAATAAAAAAAATATTTAATATAGTGAGATATTTTGTAAGCTTAAATTTTTTATTTCATTCAAGCATTATAACTAATTGATGGAAGTTTTCAAGGGTGGCGCCCCCTGGAGTACTTGGTGAGGAGTTCGTCTAATTTTACGAGTCAATATTAGGTGGGCCTTGAGTTGAATAAGATAAAAATGAATTCGTGGGGGAGACGCAATCACGAAAATTCTAATTTATTAAATTTATACTAAGTCTATTTATAATCATGTATAATTTAATTTTTAGGGTGTATTTTTTGTATTTCATCAAATTTTATGTCAATTTTTTTATTAAATTGTTCTAATGAGCCCACTTGCATAAAAACTTAACTATTAGGACTAAGCTAAATTTACTAACTCCATATTAATATAAGAATTATGGTCCACGCCATCGGGTGGACTCGGCTCTTTATGTCAAATAAGAGAACAGTACTAATCATTTATGACAAATCCGCATTCGTGAAAGAGATTGTTAAAGTGTTGAACGAGTTTCACATTAATTAGTGATGAGTGAGTTTTAAGTCGTGAGCTAGTCACACCACCTACTATATACATTTTTGGATTAAAAACTCATGCCCAACAAGATATACGGGGAGGTTACGTTTTGAACACATTTTAAAGTCAACGTTCTAAACTTGAAAGTTTTCAAGCTGACGCATATAATCAACAATTTTAGTGTATTATAATTAAATTTAAAAAAAAGTTTCATTAAATAGCCGAATGACAAGTCAAAGATAGATTAAATAAAATCAATTATGTTAGATAATATTCAAAATTCAACAACAAGGTGCTTCTAGGTGCTTCTAGTCATAGGACATGAGGATAACTGACAAGGACTAATAACGACTTGGTCATCCCGAAATTAGTCACGCCACCCTCCATCTCGTCATCCAAAAGTATCTACAATATAAAATAACTTAAGTTTTAATAAATGAATTTGATGATTTCAAATAAATTTATTTAATGATCATTAATATTTCTCTTAAAATTATTCACATTATACCGTATTTTTAGACACAAATTATCCCTAATTATAAAATAAAGGTCAAACAAGTTTTATAACATAAATGAGAGAAAATAGCGAGGAGAGTAAAAGAGAAATATTGAGAGACAGAGATAGAGATAGAGAGAATGGGGTGGGGGGAGGGACTACAATGAATGGAAGCCGTAATGAATAAATATTTGAAGAGTAATTTTAATGGGATATAATTTAAGGATATAATTTAAAGATTTACTAATAACTTAAGTGGTAAACATAGACGATGGTACCATAGACGAGCTGTAAATCCAGATATCTTGAATTTAAATCTTGACAATTTCTTGAGGCCAGACCATGAGGGATATATCCTGTGAATACTTTAATTCCAGCATAGACGACTTGCTTTTGACGAAAATGGAGTTGAGATTAGTTAGGTGCACGTAAGCTGACCTAAATATACTTGACCGTTGAAAAAAAAAAAAATTGATTGCAGTCATTGGATTGTTAGTAAATCTCAAAATTGAATGCACTTTACTGTCAATCCAACGACCACAATGATTTAAATTCTCAAATTATATTTTTAAATTATGTCCCAATAAGATTAATAATTTTTGAAATCGACTCGAATTTCAATCAGTCGGACTCAAAAAATGCATGATTGGATGGATTTCTACCAGATCAACAATGGGCTTAGGCCTTGTCCTACACTTTCCTTTCGGCCCAACATTTTGGCTTCCATCAAGCCATCCCTGTCACGTATCACTAATGGGAAACCTCAAAAATGCCACGTACACCCCCGTAATTTCATAACGTAAGCCCAATTGCCCAAACCAATCACGCCTAAGTAACCCAATTGGGCCAATTCTGTCTGTCTCTCTCTCTCTCAGCACACGCCTGCCATGGATCCTTTTCTTCCTCCTCCTCACACTCTAATCATTGCCCACCCGCTCATTACTCCTGAATCTCCACCATGAGAGGTGTCCAAGCTCCCACTCTCACGTGACTTTCCTTCCAATCTCACGTGCTTATCGTTCTTGGTTCACCTCTTACAGCCAACCAATACACTGTATGGATTTCGTAAGCCTCAATAACCTTCACATTTCCAGATCTGGGATATATACATTTGTATATGTTAATGTATTCATTTACGTGTATGCGTAGCTCTTCTCATCAATGTCTATGAATCTTCGTGAAAATTGGCAGAGGTATGCGTATAAATGTTTCAGCTCAGATCTGATTAGCTTTGGTGGTCAAAGAATTTCTTGTATTTCGGGTGAGATCTTTTTAATTTGAAGCTAATTCAATGAATTAAGCTTTATCTTACGAAATTCATAGTGTCCATGCGTTGAATTCGTTGAACTAGAAAGATATTTAATGAAAAATGGAGGCCTCTAGTGGGCCTAGTCCTAGACTCAATTCAATTTCATTCAATAAAGAGAAACATGGAGACCCAGATATTTACAATTTCGAATTGGAGTCTTCGGATCTTAATGTTCAATCTGACCACCATTTTCATCCGATGAATGCTTTGGAAATTCTGAGAGAAACAGTGAGGATTCTTCGTTATAATTCAGCGGGTTTGATGGCAATAGCGGCATTGCTAATTTGCCCAGTTTCAGCTGTTCTATTGTCCAATATATTGGTGGATCATTCCACTGTGAAGAGAC